AGGATCAGTGCAAGTTACAGAACCCAGGTAGACTTTTTATCAAGAGATGAGTTTTCGTCTACTTGTTTAATTTAAAGATCAGTCCACTAACTAGAAGTCCAGCCAAAGAAATAAGAAGTAAAACATTCTACACGATCGAAAGGGTCGTTTTAGAAGTTAATATACAGATCTAACACGGTTAAGCTGTATAGACTCTATGCCATCCTTTTTTCTATTTTCATCTGAAATAATACCTCGTAATAATGGAATAGACGCTCGCGCGAGAAGATACACAAAAAACGAACATCTCGAAAAAAACATGAATAGCACCTGAAAACCACGAAATGTTATAAAATAAACTTAATTCTTTTAATAGAGGTGACAATTACGCGCTCCTATAGACATGCAAGTGGAGCGGCGATTAACCCCACATTTCCCTACAATATATCATCCAGATTCTAGAATCGAAATTGTCGACCCCGAACCGCCCTGAGCACTACATCGTCCACCCCAAAGATAGCAAACCACTTTATTCTACGAAATATAGAAAACCAAATCTATTCTCGTTAGGACCGTGAGGTAATAAAATCGGGATTGAAAAATCATAACAAAGAACGTCTCCTTGTACTGTACAGTGATCGGCATAATCACCCTAACCCCATAAACAAACGCTCCATACATTCCGGGTGTAAATACCATAGCGCCTCCAAAACCACTTTATTAAGAACCTTTTTTACCAGCATCCGAATTAAAATCCTTAATCAAGGATTACTCAACGCACGATTAGTGTCAATCATCCTACATCAGGTGATAAAAGTCAGGCTATCGGATTTCAATCTTCAGTTACCCTAATTTTTATTGGGGCAACGCGAATTTCATTAATCCGAGATTAAGTAATCACGGTTAAGAAATTTCACGTTACACCGAATGCGTCACTATAAACTAAAGAGCCGGTCGACGTTTCGCAATTTAAAGCGATCTAAAGGGGTTAGAAACGCCATGCGGTTTTGCTTGAGAGTTAATTACCTGGTGTCGCGTAATCGCGATAACGGTCCTTCGAGGGCAGCGACACAACGGCGGGGTCGAAACTGTGCCGAATTTGCCGATGCTCTCGCGGATAGGTTAAGAGAGTCACGTGACCCGCGAGAGAAACGGGCCGCATCACCACCAATCACCCACGTCCATCTTCCCCTCCCGGGCGGCGCATGGGAGACCGTGGGTCGGATTGTCCGCACCGAGCCGCGTGTGTGTGCGCGCTGTTCGCGCTTAGCGCGCCTATGCGCGCTGTGCGCGCTATGCGCGTCTGAACGCGTCTGAACGTGTCTGTACGCGCTGCGCGCGTGGGCCCGCCTGCTACACGAGGTCGCGGACGCGCCGTCTCGATCCGCCACGGAGGCTGGGAATTTCGCCGGACGGACTTATCGATTTATTTAAATATAGGGCTTCCTCGATTCCACGAAGGCCGTTCGGCACTCGGATTTTGAATGGGCGCGAAACGCGACTCCAAGGCGGCAGGCGGACGAAATCGTAATACCGGATATTCGAGGGAAGCGACGATGGACTTGTGGGAGCGACGAGCGCTCCTCTTTGAATTTATGTCTCCGTGGCGGCGCCACCGTCCGCCGCGCGCGTCGCCGATGGCCGAACACTCGTAAAAACGATCGACCCCGCGGAGAGGAGAGGAACGAGGACGGACCACGGGGTTGTAACACGGCTTGGGAGGATGCCTCGGACTCGGCTCGTCCTGGTTTTGCCAAAGGTTCGTCGTCCGCGTACTTTAGCGGATTTACCAGGAGAGGAAAGTCCCATTTGCTTTACCTACTAGATGCTCTGCTCTACCGCCCAATTTCGTATCCGCGGATGATACTTGCATCCTCGGATGAGAATATTTAAGCGGCCAGGGTGCAGACCTCTTCCCGTTCGATGCACAGTTCCCTCCCTTGTTAAGAAACGGTTCGATCGTGCAATTGATACGACTCGATTAACTTTACGGGTCGTTCTGCGACTTAAAAAAATTATTAGATTATAATCAGTATTATTTGAGTTGGACGTTATATTGAATGGTTGGGACATTTTTCAATTGTTCTTTTCCTCTTTTACTACCCGTACTTATGTATCAAAATTATTCGAACAAACCATTCCAAAGGAACTTACATCTAATAGATTTATTACTTCTTCTAACCTTAGTAGCTGCTTCTTTGCTCGATACATCTGTAAACATGAACTTTTTAAGGTCTTTAGGATGATATTAAACTCTTTTGTACTTTGGTTGGATATGCTAAGCGTGATACATCTTCACTTGTCAAATCACCCACATAAATTATCCGGTTACCTTTAAGAATAACATTTATTACCTTCTTATTAACTGATTAAATATATTTTGGTTTTTCTCTGGAAGCGATTTTTTATAAATCTCAGATTCTACATTATTAACTTCGATTTCTATATTAGTTTGTATCTTACAAACTTCATTTGTATTAATGTTTTCAATAGGAATTACAGGTTTGATACAAATGTCAGTCCAAGATTTATTAGTTACACTATTGTCTATAATTTCAGCACTAGGCTTTGTTAATGACAAATTATATGCTTCGGCAGAAATTATTTGCATATCGAAAAAGACAGTTGGAATAGCACCAGCTTTTAATCGTGCTCTGTTTCTTCCAAGCGATGTATTAAAAGAGGTCCTTTCAAAATGAAGTCTGCATATTACCGAATATACACGAAGAGTGAAATTCACATTTGCATTTTGTTTAACAGCTTGCAGCCATTTATACTTTATATATTCATTTTTCGGAAATCTAAAATGAAACGAAAAATAAGTACATTGAATTTTTCATCCAAGATAATTATCCATGCAAAAATTCTATGACTCGCTTATGAATGCTTATAAGAGGATTTTGTAAATATTGGTTTTCACAAACGGCGTACGGTGTCCCCATATTGTATCAACTATTCAAAAATAACAAAAAAAGCACGATCATAGTAATACCAAGTAAATACGTTTAAATACGTGTTTATACATTACAAACTCATGTATATCCTCTTTGAATGTACGGTTTTTGTTTCCTCCATTGATACAAATTCAATAACTCACTAAACTTTAAAAAGTTCAAACAACAAAGAAAACAACATTTTTTTGTATTGGCTCAGGAAGTCTATTACGTAAAGCTAATTAAGCGAAAATGTGAAAAATGAGTAGCTCACGATATTACGTAACGTTTTTGGTGGTGAAAATGCGAGACATTCACATGAACTGGCTCGGCACAAATTTTTAAGCTAAATAGTGAAGCGTACAAGAAAAGATAGGAAAATAAGCGCCGTGAATGCCATCTTCCACGAATTATGACACCGAAATTTAAAATAGAAAACCTCCTGGGTGTTCTTATTTTTGGCAACAATCGTATTCGGGGACGTAATATTAACCTTATTAGAAGAAGAAGCGAATTACGTGGTGCCTCAGTCCCGTTTTCATTAGATGAAAGAGAATTTACTAGGATGTACAAGTTATTAGCACTTGTATCACCGTCTCTTTCTCGCTTTCCAATGGTTTCGTTTGTGCCTTCGTGTTCCCTTTCAGCTTTAGGTGGGCCCCTTCGGAGAATCTGGCGACTTACTGGTGTTTCTTCAATGTTCCGTTTTACCTGTACTTTTGTGCCCCTTTGCAGGTTTAGGTGGATCACCTGGAAGCAGCCATTTTTGGTAATATCATCATGGGCAGTTAATCGAAATCGAGCTTTCTGCACTTGTTGGTAGAAGATGTTAAAATATGTTAAAGGATCTTTGTGAATTTTTGTCGCGATGCGAACTGCGTCCACGGTAGCTTGATGGGGAAGGTTGTTCCGTTTAAATTGATCTCTCGAGCTAGTGGCTGCGATTTTTTTCGGAGGAGACCCAGGGTTTGAAGTTTTTGTGAGGAGTTCATCACTTTTTTTAGCTTGATGGGGAAGATTGTTCTGCTTAAATTGATCTCTCGAGCTAGTGGCTGCGATTTTTTTCGGAGGAGGTACAGGGTTTTGGAGTTTTTGTGAGGAGTTCTTCACTTTTTCAGCCGGTTCTCCGGCTGCCTAGATTTGTAACAGGTGGCAAGTGCATTAGCCGTCTGCATCCTCCACCGGAGGTCGAACAGGACGCGGTCGCTCGATCCTTCCCGTGAATCTCTCAACTCATCTCTGATTTGGCAGAGATGAGTTAGGAGATTGCCATAATGGTAAGCCACCACCGTCAACTGCCGCATGGTATTACCATCACGAATACGTGAGCCGCCAACGGCAACTGGTAGATGGCACAGCCATCGCGATTGCGCGAGCCCCTACCAGAAATTCGTTGCGCCGCCCTTGGGGGCAAAAAACGGTGAAAGCTAACGTACGACATCAGAGGGCAGCACACGGTGCGATCGCGCGACCCTGCCCGTGAGCAATCTCCCAACTCATCTCTGGTATATACCTTTATTTGCAATATTACTAGACCGGAAGTGCTAGTGATCTCGTTCTTTCATATAGCGAATACGTAATTCGGCGAATAAACCCACGTGAGATGAAAGTGCGAGAAGTGAGCGCTCTCGTCAAAAATACATAATAATCCTCTGGGGTCGCGATATATAGGGGCAACTCATTCCTAGCGAAGATGAGTTGCGTCGCCACTGAGGGGAAACTGGTGGCAAGTACGTTAGCCGCAAGTACATACCAACCACCAGGGGGCAGCACTGACTGCGATCGCGCTATCTCGCCCGTGGGCAATCCTCCCAACTCATCTCTGGCATCTGTGATAATTTTGAAAAATCACTTACACAATAGCAACTCGCGCTAGTTTTATTCCTAAGCATTTTGCCACTCTTTTGAGGTTTGAATCCCACGTTTAAGAATCAGTACATGGCGTTTTAATTGTACTACTTATTTTTTATCACGGAACATATACTTGTTGTAATGATTATAACTATTTTATTATTTGTTATTTTTTAAAATTCTCCGATAGGTTTCACTTTTGACTCCAGTAGTACTCTGCGCATCTCGTTTCCTCGGAGGTGTTCGTGGTGTGCGCTTTAATGCGGCCGTGCACGCTCTATACGTCAAGTGCGGTCAAGAGTTTGCATGGTCATACTTGGAGGACACACTTTGCCAATTTATACAGGTAATTATGAGGTTGTTGCGTACACTCGTTTCCTTCGAAATGATTGTTAACGAGTGATTGACCCTTAAACAAGTCCTTTGAGGCATTGCAAATTTTACAGTTCTCGCTGTATCGCATTTGGCATGCCTGTGAACTGGTTCCACATTACCCTCATGTCCATATTGCACAACTTCTCGTTTACCTTATCAGGTGTTAACGAGAATGCATTCAAAAATTGATGGACTTATCACATAGATAACATAAAGAAAAATCAGTAATTGTTCAGGATATATAAGGACTTCTTTTGAATATTTATGGTGACTTTATGTCAGTTTGATAAAGACCGTGTCACTTGGTGTTCTTTTATAATATTTATGTATAGCGAAAGATTTATTACATAATTTAGCCATGTAAAATATTGGGAATCATCGCTGCAAATAGACAATGCAAGAATTGACGTATTGAATTTATAATGAATTTAGTTTGTATGTATTATTTTAATTAAAAATGTTATAATTTGTTCAATTTACTATTAGAGCTTCAGCAAACAAGAAATGGCTACGGAAGCCAATCCAGATGTGGATCCCAATTCTCTAGATACGCATCTATTGCAGTATCTTTACGTAGGACAAGAATGTCCAAAATATCAACCTGGAAATTGGTTTGTTCATAATTACTATTATGCTCACCGTGTACCCTCGATAGCGCAGCTTGCTGAAGACAAAGCAAAAGAAGGATTACCAGTGGAATTAATTTTGAAGGTAGATTATAATCGATACGATGCATAAGACATTTTCATTGTGAACGTGATGCTTTATATTATGTTTTAGGCTTATGAAAGTAAACTTGTTCAAAATCAAGAAACCTTAGTATTTGCATTGGCAGTTTGCGCAAGACAAGATAAGAGCGAAGTCCTCCGCCATAAGGCATACGAAGCAATAAAGACAGTTTGTCAGATGCCGCAACATTTTATTTTATTTGTTAAGTTTGCGTCTCAACTTAGTAAGCAACAACCAGACCCAAAACATGGATGGGGCCATGGTTGGCGAAAAGCAGTTAATAACTGGTATCTTTCGAAAAATGCACTTGAATTGGCAAAGTGTGTTACACGGTATAAGGGCAGATATGGATGGAAACACAAGGATATAATCAAGCTTGCACATCCAGCACCACCTAAAGATGACATAGGTATTATTCATAATTATCTTTTTGTGTTATAAGTATTATGTTCCTTTTATCTTTAACATCTATATTTCCTTACTACTTTCTTTTCCAGCAATGCGGGCAGTACTAAGATACATCGCATATGGATTCAAAGACACAAAAAGCCATTTTCAGCAATCTATGGATAATGAACAACTATCCGAAGTTATTCAGTACATTGAAAATATTGAGGACTTTAAGCACTGTGAGGATGAAGTTAGGGCAGCTCGATTAATAGAAGTTCATAATTTGACCTTAGATCACGTACCTGGACATTTTCTAAAATCCGAGGAGGTACAAATCAAATTTAAGAGTAATGATAACCATAAAAATGAATACAGGTAATACATGAATATTTGAAAACAGGTGTGGAATGCATTAATACCAACCATGGATTTGACCACTTTATTGAATAATCTGCAGCGAATGCATAACATGGGGCTGTTAAAATCAAATGCACCAGGAGTGGAAAAAATAACTGACGCAATTTCAAATGTAAAGAGTTTAGCGAGTGAAAAGATTCATCCAGCTCTTGTATTGATTACCATAAAAAATTATGAAAATTCAGGAAAGTAAGTATCTACATTTATTCTTTCAATATTAATGTTGATTTTAAATTGTTTCCAAATAATTCCATACCTTTTCCTTTGTTTCATTATTTTCAATTTCCAAATAATTCCATACCTTTTCCTTTGTTTCATTAAAGACCTTTATCCTATGAAAAGCGGGTAGTTCAACAAGAAGCTGAGAAGCCACTGCCATCACCTCCAAAACCAAATCAGACAATCGTCAAAGCCTTATACAAGACTCTAAATCTCACCCTAGCAGTAAGTTAATTTTAGCTTTTAAAGTAGTAGTTTGAAAACAAGAAAATATACAAAAGAAGAACGTATTTTGATATACTTGTCTGAATATTTTTAAATTATACTTTTTTTAATTCTCTTTACTTTTACAGCACCTTGAACCGACTCGATTACGGTACATGGTTGTGATCAATATGAATAAATTAATGTTGGAAAGTCGTGCTTGGCGTAGTGGAAATGTCACTGCTGCCGAAGCAGGCTGTCTGATAGCTTTGTCCTTGCTTCGCTGTGAGAAAACTGTAACTGTGGCAACATTTAAACACATTGGAGTTCATGTAGTCAATTTAGATAGGAATGGTACCTTCGGTCAAGCAATGAGGAAGCTGCAACAAGCTCCAGTTGGTACAGTTGATATCAGCAAACCCATGTCTTGGGCTACACACCAGAACAAAAAATATGACATTTTCATTAATATCGTGGATCAGATTACACAGAAACTTGACGAATCTAGAGAAGCTATTAAGGCTTATAGAACTAAGATGAATTTACCGAATGTTAAGTAAGTACACTTTAATGTTCAGTTACATACATTAATCTGTATACACTGTAACAATCCAAAATCAGCCGTTATCACTGATATCTTCAACAGATTAGTACGAGGGATTCATTTTCAATTGTACAAAATGCAGTTTGAAATGAACTCAATTTTATGACTTGAAAAGAAAATTCAAATGTCATAAGCAACTTTTACATTTCTTTTTTTTTCACCAGTATTCATATGACAAAATTTACTATTCTGTGTTTTTCCAAAATGATGGACTCATTTGGTTATAATTTCAACATAATTAACATACACAGATGTAGAAGAAAATGTAATGTATAGAAACATTTTTTGTGTATATGTTTCATAATATTGGATCACTGTGGAGATAGATATAGTTCCTCAATAGATAAATTGAAGAATGAGCAATATTGGTTGTTTAAAATAGATTAATAATTTAAAAAGTGAGCCGTCCATAGATAGAGCATTAACACAGTATATGATTTATAGATTGGTAAATTGCACAATGTGTACACCGGCAGTACCTGACGTGGACGTTCCAGACAAAAACGTCTTAACAATCTGTGGTTTCGATGCTGGCGTACCCAAGATCATAGAGGCTTTTGCAAAGTCTTTATTCTAACCATCCCGGTACCAACAGGAGCAACAACGACCCCACTTCTCTTCTTTCGTTCACCATTAATTAGGAAGGTACGTTCACGAAAGAGATCTCCTTAAAGAAAATTTTCTTAGACACAATCGATACTTATCGTACGTTGAATTCCGTTAATAGAAACGTTACTTTTGTACCTCATCACATGATAGTATAGAAAATCGAGAAAGTCTCGGCATTTTTGAGTTAAGGCAGAGGAATGTGTTGTACGACACTACAAAACGAGCCGAATAGGTAAAGGATTCCAGATTCAATCTCAAAATCTGAATATTGTTTTCCTATCACCTCTTTAGTCAATTCCTCGAAGTTACGAAGATATTGTACGGCGGCGAGTTATCCGAATCTAATATTTTACCTAAGGATAAAGCTGTTTAATTTCAGAGTGATTCGAATAAGCGATTTCGAAACACAGATACTGTAAGCATCTCACTCAGTAATTAGTAATGCGCCGATAAAACGCTACTATTTAGAAATCACGTGTTTTAAGCGAGTGTAACCATTAGATGGAAGTTCTAATCGAATCACGAGATTTCCATGACAGGCCGTTGAGAATTTGTTTCTTAAGCTACTGGCACAGTGTTCATAATCAACGTATTACAGAAACCGTTCTCAAAATGAAGGACGCGTTGGAAAACGAATTACGTATTACATTCGGAAGAATGGCTGGTGTTGGCAAATTAATCTTAATGGATTAGTACCAAGCGTCCAATATTACTATCATTACATGATTACATTATACAGTAATAATATTTACTGCATGTTTGTTAGTATTTAGACTAAGTGTAAAGATAATTGTTTTATTTTCTTTCTCCTTATTCTGCGGGTTGGTTCCAAATTGTCTACTAATATTATTTTAATTATATAACCAGTGCACTAACGAGAACATACTTCGCGGGAAGTTATGGCTTTTTTTTTATTAATGCTACTGCCAGTAAATTGTGCAACATATACATACAGGGACAATGAAAAATCGAAGACGTCACGTCGATACATGGGACCGCCCTAATTTTTTAAACGCGAGTTAACATTTTATTTTTGTATTGAGATTCGTCGCACGTTTCACGAAGAAAAAAATATGAGAACCTGAATAACGCGCAGCAGAGAATAATAGCATTAAGACTGGATACACATATACATATATTAGATACATAGGCGATATCTAAAACGGTGCATTTGTGACTAATTGTAAAGAGGACTCGTTTAACTTAATTGCTTGCTTATTTCCACGGGTTGGCGGTGAAGCTTTTTACGAGAACTTTAATAAGGTATATAGATTTAATGCGAGTTCTAAGACGATACCTTTCTGGGACCCGCGCGCCTCTGGATTAAAAAAAAAAACTCGATTAATAAGAAAAAATGCATAGAGTGTTGAAAATTTTCCCACTGTGATACGCATTTAGCCCCAAAGAGTATAGACTTACATTAGTATAATTTTACTGTTATATCTCATATTTGCCATATCCAAAGTGAAGTGACGACAAATATTAAATACACTACTGATACAATACTGTGATACGAGATACAATGTTATTGTTCAAACTAGGGAAAAGGTGTAAGTAAAACGGCGGGGGCGCGCCTCGGGTCCGCTTAATTTGTTGATTAGTATCGATATATCGATTAGTGAATAAATTTACGTTGAGAGACATACATACGACAGTATCCAGATGTACCTCTAGTTGTTTCGTCGATCTGCGAATTACCTTATTGAACTCGGACTTCGAGAGGTTTACGTTTGTTAAAAGAAATTCCGTCTTCTTTGGCGACTCGTTTTCTCCTTGTGTTGAAATCGTTGCTAGAATTTCGATGATCAAATAATCGAATTTTACTAAGGGTACTTCCATTGAAGTAGTAATGAGAGGCATTTCTGACGTATCTGATATTTAAAAATATCTCTAAAGGATATATCTTGGAACAGAGTTGAGAGAATCTCAATAAATGTGATAAGACTTTTTTTTTTAATTTACTGAGCCATTTTTTCGAAACTACTCAATTTTTTCCTAGAACGAACGCAAGTTTACAAAACTGCTTCACAAATAAGGATAACGCCTAATGCCTTTGACAACAATTTTGTCCTATTTTTAGCAACATTCTTCACAAGGCTGCAGGGACACCTCATTCTAATTTGAACTACGCAGCTTTAACTTTCAATTTTCATTGATAATTGTGATTTGGAATTTTTGTCTGCTAATTTATACTTTTTTCTACTTAAGTCGCGTGATAAAAAAGCAGTTGCAAAGTACAGCTTTAAGGAACAAGCTTTAAGGAACGTTTTTGTTAACCTTCTTGTGCGACCTTTATTCTAATACAATAAGCTGTGTTTTATTTGACAGCTGCTTAAACCACGAAACTAGAAATCGAAAAAGTTTTTATAATTGATTTAAATTTTCTGTGAGATATCCCTCAAGAGTCGCGAAAGTCAGACCAAACAAACGTCCGTTTGGAACTCGAATTTCTCCAGAGGAAACTCGCATTCCTATTTCTGTCTCTCTCGCTAACGTTCTCGGTAATCCGTGGATCGAAATTAACGTTTACCGTTATCGCTAATGTTACTACTTATTGTTTCATCCTTCCCAAGGATCTTTGTTTCTTTCTGCTCGGGCTCAGCCAAAATCTCTCTAAGTAGTCCGACTCTTTGAACTGCAGCGAGCAGTGCACCCTTTTCTAGGGTTATAGAAAATTCTTATAAATAGGATTAAAATCAACAGCATTCGATTAAGTACTAACTCTTGGAAGGAAATATCACGTAAACTCCCTTAATGTTGGGAACAATATTTTCGATCTAACAGTACCCGTTAATCCTTCTATTATTATTATTATTTTTTAATTAAAAGTTAGTGATATTATCATAAAACTCAACTTTTGGAATTTTAATGCACATTTTATCCATGCAACAATTTCTTTCAACGTATCATGTCAACGTCGAATGCTGTTATTTTTAACAGTTCAGGAATATCTCGGATAAGCCTCGCTCTTAGTTGCGCGATTCCTCCTATTCGAATTTCTGTCTGTTACTCGAATAGTATTTTTTAGAGAAATTTTTCCTAAACCGACCTTAAGTACCGATACGAAGCGCGTAGAGATTATTTATACATACCGAATTGCTATGTCGATTCCGACTGTCAAGAGTCTGAAGGGAAAAAAAAATAAGTAAGGTTTTTTCCCCAGGGAATGCCTGTCGTACTGAGAAAAAAAACAACAACAAAAAACGAGGGATATAATTATTTCGGAATAATGTTGCGCATCTAGATATTAGCAAGACTATAGGAACTTATTCTATGCTACTTCTGTGTACTCGTAGCATTATTAATTATGTATTCGGTGGAGTAATAGTTAGTAGAGCAAGGCATTTGAGCGTGCACGACAATCGAAAAGTACTTCATTGGATGCATTTTTGTACAACTATCATTGTTTTTTTTTCTGTTTCTTCGTCTCAGGAATACATATTGCGGCAATGAAAAATCTTAAAGCAAACAATGAGTTTATTCGTGATTAGAATTCAAGGGCTAATGTCAGTAGAGGCCCTGATTTGCTTGAAAGATGTATGATTTATAATACAAAACGCACTTTTTTATATCAATGGGCTAAGTTAAGTAAGCTGCGGATCTTTTTGAATATTAGCGGCCGGATAATTTGGACGTGCATTCGGTACAATGAGCGATTATTTATGTCATTTTACTTCGAAGGTTTCTATTTCGTTTTATTTTTAGTCTCATGTGATGTATATTGTGGGGAAGGTATTTTTCGATTGTACCGCACCGAATACTTGTATTCGTTAATTAATATAAGAGTACGTCCGAAGTAAAGAAGGGTTAAAAGGAGAAAGAATAATCAGCGGAAAAACGAAGCCAATTCTGCAAAAAGCCGTCTCATGAATTCTGTACTTTCCGCACCGTCAAAGTTTCGAGGTTTACCGAATTCAAGATGCTCTTCTCCGCGTACGATTAATGAAAGAAGAAAAACAATATGTTGAATGTGTTCATACTAGTTGAAAGAAAATATTTACAGTAGGGGCGGGGAACTGAAAAATACTGGGGAAAACTGCGAGAAATTCCATTTTAGCAATTAAACGATTACACTGTTGTAGACGAAACGATCGACGTATGTGGAGCATATCCTAATGTTTCTATAATAACGGATTCTCGTAAATATTAACGAGACTAGGTTAATAATTGATTTTCTGTAGAAAAGAAAAGGAAAACATTCGATCGGCTTAGAATCTACTTATTGCATTACGGAATATACGCAACTAAAACTGTGAACCGTTTTGTTACTGTACAAATCTTGTTAATTAAGCTAAGCCACGTAATGCAAAGAACATCGGTACGTTTATTTCGTTACGGATTCATTTTTGTTTAATTTACCCTCAGGGTGCATTTACTAGAACGTAAATTGGATCTAAGTTAACGCTACTGAAGTCATGTCCCATGCTAATACGTGAACAAAAACAAACGTTTGATGCTGACTAATCATTTAAAGGTACTCTAGTCCTCAGCATTTAAACAATCCAATCAGGAATGATTATTTTGACGTTTATAACATTCCGAAACCTTTTGACACCATTTAACGAACGCTCAAGGGACGATTAATACAATTTGTTAACAAATATTTTTTAATATGAGCCAACTGGTGACCCAAGCTCGACGTGTTCAAGTGTTTGATACAAGCATTACTTTGCCGAAAAGTAATTTATTCCGATACGTGTATTTATCGGCGTGTTCTACATCTTCAAAATGAACACCCATTAAACCACTATCGTTCCAAGTGGTAAATCGTCAATAAACTTCCACATACGTCGACTCGCGGCCAGATTAAGTCGAACAAAGCAGCAAGCAGCTTCCTAGCTGTGAGAAAATCCGCGAAACTCTGCAAAGTAATCGCAATTAATGGCTTTTACTTCGACCAGGAAGCACAAGATATATAGCCGATATAAATGTGTATTCAGGCGAATAGTGTTCTCTATATATAGATATACAGAACACTATATATATACATATATACATATATATAATTAACGATATACGATACTAACATGAAGTACGTGTAGCACGATAGCACTATGTTCCTTAAGATTATAAATTGAAAACGAGGGAAAACGGAAATACCTTTCGACGCGACGAGCGCGCTCTCGCGGAACGACTGGCAACGAACCGCGCGTCAAATGCTCAAAATTTGTCCCAGGAGAAACCGGAGCCAAAAACAAAAAGAAAACGTACGACGACGTAGCGAAGAAACCTAATCCCGTTGTACAAAAGAGACAGCCGAATACCTCAGTTGGCTCATTGTTTTTCCTGCTGTAGCGAAAAAAAAAAGTTAATTATTATGCCGGGCGCGCGAGAGCGAACGTCGCGCGATCGCAAAAAAAAAGAAGAAGAAGAAGAAGAACCTAACCTTAAATCAATCGACCACACGAGACGCGGAAATTCGCTAGTTCGTAATGGGTCAGGACACTTGAGTCGACTAAAATGAAATGCCTATCTTTCGGCCTTACTTTTTTATACGAGCGGGAGAGAGGGGGAGAGAGAGAACAAAAATTAGCGAACGAGAAGGCTCTCGGTGGACACGTATATTGGCGCGGTTTTCTTTTTCCCCGCCGCAAAGAAATCTCACGGAACATCGGCATAGTCCGAGGGTCGATGCTGCGCGTCCGCATTCTTAGGGAAAAAAAAAAGTTATATCGGGACGATAGTTATTAACGAAATATCGCTCTAAGCGAACCTAGGGAATCGTTTTCCACATGGGCATGTTAGGGAGCGAGAAAATGGAGCTGAGAGATCGCGACCTAGGCCGGGCGATCGCTTCCGGGATGACTTCCTTTTTCCTTCGGGTCGTTTAACACATTCGCGACCGCTGACGTGAATTCACGTCATTTTAAATTCTATTCCTGATTGCCGCTGACGTGAATCACGTCCATGACGATGCACGATACAAGTTAGCGGCAAGCAGTTTCAGAATTTCATTATTTTCGCCGGTACTCAGTATTTGAAATGGAAAAAATTGTGTTAACAAAGTCTCCCGAACATGGAACAAGGATATTCGGAAGTTGTCCCGGACAGTCGACGGCCCCTCTGAGCGCCTTTCTCGAATGGCAATCTTCCGGAAACGGCGCAACAGTTGCCCTAGGTCGCGTTCCGAACTTTCTTTCGATGTGTTCGAAACTATTCGTACTTGAAAGCAGAGCTGAATAAAATACTTGCCTCGCTTGTATACCCCTTATGTTTTCTCTCAGCCGGATAAGTGTTTTGCCAGCGGAAAACGTTGTTCCGTGGCGATTAATCGTGGCATGAACGAAATTACGTAGGAAAGAAAAAAAAAAGAAAAAGAAATAGGAGAGGATCGCTTGCTTATCGGTGCTGGACACGGATGATTTCTGTACAAAAGGACTGCGGACGTTTTCGAGTAAATAAATAAATAGGAAGGCTTCTCGCGTATCGTTACAGATTTAGCGCTCAATCGAGCGGAGAGAGTTTCGTTAACTGCAACAGTTCTGACCGAGCCGTGTCTCAAGGGACCTTTTTTCCCGTTCCGAGGACGTCTCCCCTTTTGCCTTCGTTCAATTGTAGGAAATCGCTACACTCGTCTCCGCTCGGGGAACATTCGTCCATCTGAGAAGGTTATCCGATGCACGCGTGATAACGACTGATTAAGGCAGGGCGAAGTCGAGCTCTGCCCAAATTGTTGCGGACACTTTACCCTCGAAATTTATATTGAAATATACGATACCGTCTCAAGTCATATGTTAACGTGACGCGTGCTCCTAATTGTAACCGAGCGATTCCACCGAAGACGCGGCGAGTTTCTTCGTTGGTCTCGCCCCCGTATTAGAAAACGCCGATTTGCCAAGCAAATCGGCGTCCTTTGTCATCACTCGTGGAATCTCGACAAGGCACGTTCTTAAGGTGAAGTGAAAAACGTCGAGGAACTTGATCGACGTCGATAAAGAAGATCTTTCTAAATGCCTACGTTGCGGACGTTCGTTTTTATATTGACAGCAGTATCGAATTGTATTGGGTATTGTACCAAATGGCATACTCCACCTGTCGTTTTCGTACAATAATTATAAAGAAATCCAAGTAAAACTCCAGCAATCCTCTGGATTCATGCTTTCTGGGGCCCTAATTGATTGCAGAGGGACCCCCTGCGCCATCTGTGATTTCCAGGTCAATTAAATTTCACTCCGAGAACTCGTATTCCCATCCTTTCAGCATAGAAGCGCATGCAACACTTTTTTTGCCTTTATCCCATTCAAATGCGAGTTTATCGATTACCAGACTGTTATAAATTGTAAAATTGTTCTGACCCTTTCGTTTCTCATATCAGAGCCTTCGATAATTGTATATTGATCGAAATATGAGAGCTCGACGCCATTTTGCTTCTGGTTTGGGCTGAGTTAAAAATATTATTTAAAAAAATCCACACTTTGAATGTGTCAGGACAATTCTTAGATGATCAGGAGTGATGTGTCAGAGTTTCGAACAGTTTGGTCTAATACCCTTAAAAAAAAGTGTTGTATTCGAGTCGACTGATTTGAAGGGGGTTTCACTTCACCTTAAAGCCTCTACACATTATGCGTGGTGCGTGATAAGCGATGCACGTGGTGCGCAAATAGCGCGTATGGATGTGTTCAAATTTGGTGCGTACCGGTGTTTGTCTTGGGGGAAAACTTGAAATGACTCAAAGCGATATTTAGGTTTGTCCGAATTAGCTGCACTTTTGCCCTTATTATCCAATTTCGCCAAGTTTGTCATTCGAGTTACCGGAAGTGACGACAAAGGCGGCCGTTCGGGTTAGGAATGCAATTGCGCTTCTTGGTAAAAAAGTCTAGCACCTTTCTGCCCTAGCCGTCTAATAGGTGCAAAGAGGGCAGGAAGGTATCATCTGTTATCGTACGGCATGAATATAGGTCCCGCCTGAACAAATTATTCGCCCTTTTCTCAATTTCCATTGAAACTAGTCAGTTACGCTCGTTCATCCTCAATCAGGGTCAGAAAGTGCAGCTAACACAGGGTGGATAGGTGATTCGTTAGTGATGCGTGGTGCGTGATGCGTCGTCCAATGCGATCTAAACATTCAGCATTAGTGGGATGAGTCCGCAATGAGCAAAGATCTATTCACTTTATAGAAGTAATGAAAGAGTACCCGTGCTCGTGGAACCCTCCGAGTAGAGATGAAAAGAATCGAAATGAGACCGAAGATGCGTTAACCCTTTCGTTACCTTGGACGAGATATCTCGCGACCCAATACTGGTTGATTAACGCTTTTGACGAGATATCTCGCGACCCGATACTGGCCGATTAACGCTTTTGACGAGATATCTCGCGACCCGATACTGGCCGATTAACGCTTTTGACGAGATATCTCGCGATCCAATACTGGCCGATTAACGCTTTTGACGAGATATCTCGCGAGCCGGTAGTAGCGGATTAACGCTTTTGACGATAATCTAGCTTTCTAGCACCAATATTTTGACATTCTAGATGAATATATTTTATAATTAATTCTATTCGTATAGCTAAAAGGAAGAAATAAATACAGCTACTACCGGATCGCGAGATATCTCGTCAAAAGCGTTGATCGGCTACTACCGGGTCGCGAGATATCTCGTCAAAAGCGTTGATCGGCCAGTATTGGGTCGCGAGATATCTCGTCCAAGGTAACGAAAAGGTTAAGAACAATTGCAGGCGAGTTGAAAGTCAGCTTTCATCTCGAAGAAGAAGGCCGATTTATTTTGCACGCACGGTCATTGTAAAGGAAAAATAAACCGGGAATTTCGACGCACCTGCACCCCACGCATCGCGAATCACGCACCACACACGGGAGTGGCCTCTTTAGCTACTTGGACGAAAAGCCTGTAGTAGAATCATTGGATCGTGTCCTTCGCGAGCACGCGGATTTTTACCGGGGCACTTTGTATAAAATAGCAAAATATTACCCCCCCAAAAAAAAGATGGAAAAAAAAAGAAAAAAAAAATGATATGCTAAAACGTAGGTAGCACGAATCCGAAGGAAACGGTACTCGATACAGTATTTTGTCCAGCTCTGCCGTGTGTGCAGCCACAGGTCCCGCCGTTACAGCTTGTAATGTGTTGTAATACGACATTATCAAACCTCGCTTCGTTTTTTGTTGGTCGGACACCGCGCTAGATTAAATATATATACTGTAACCCTCTACGGGATATCGCCGCGACTCGCGAATTCGCATTCGAAGTTACCCTGCGAAATCGCCCCAGAAGATAAGTAATCCCGTAAAGAGCCTATGTCGTATTGGTTGTGAAGATTACAGAAGAAGAGAAAGGGAGGAAAAAAAGGAACGAACAAAGGGTCGGAAAGAGGGAGGGAAAGAGATACGTAAGACGACTTGCGGATATATTTTTGTGCATATTCCCTTCCTTCCCCCTTCAAAACGCGGCGCATATTTTTACACATTCCCGGTAAACGGCAATTACAGCTGACAGATTGTACGCGACGATAACGGGATGACGCGATAACGCGATCTCGTTAAAGCGCGTGACCCGCCACTCGGGCAAACTCGCGATATTAGGTGGAAATTCACCGGACCAGTGGCAGGGACGTTTTGTAATTTTCACAACTGTTCCGTTTCGGGGTCGTTACCTTCGTCGTTCGTTACCTATCGCGCGTTAACGCGTTCAGTGCGACGTGTACCACCGATAATACGCGTTAACCTCGGCTGGTACACAGCGTGGCATGGAACGTGTTAACCCTTTCGTTACCTTGGACGAGATATCTCGCGACCCGGTAGTAGCCGATTAACGCTTTTGACGAGATATCTCGCGACCCGGTAGTAGCGGATTAACGCTTTTGACGATAATCTAGCTTTCTAGCAGTAATATTTCGACATTCTAGATGAATATATTTTATAACTAATTTTATTCGTATAGCTAAAAGGAAGAAATAAATACAGTTTTTATCCGTTAAGTCGCTACTACCGGATCGCGAGATATCTCGTCAAAAGCGTTAATCGGTCAGTATCGGGTCCCGAGATATCTCGTCCAAGGTAACGAAAGGGTTACCGAGACTCCTTGCGGGATTACTTTTCGGGATCCCGATCCTCTCGGTGGAGGGGGTCCTTAGGCGATAAGTTATCGCCCAAGCTTCGACGCCGCGACCTGTATCTCGCTGAACGGCGGACTAAAAAAAGGGAGCTTTCAAGCGACGAAACAAAAGATGTTCAAAAAAAAAATCACCGGAAAGGTTCTCCATTAGACAAAAAAGAATGGCTGTTGACACGAAATCCTAACGTTATTTTTATACTTCATTTGTACCGCGCGACGCAGATGTGTTTTATCTGGAAGTGCTGGAAACTCGTTGGCTTTATGCTTTTTGAGCGGACGGAGAAACAGTGCCGGATTTGTTGCCGCGACAAATGTGCGTAACAGGGCTGTTCCCGAAGGAACCGCCTTCGAAAACGCCCGCTATTGAGTATACTCATGCGTACATATATATATTTAAATATATATGTATACGTTCTCTAAATTGATAGGTACACACGCGGTGTGTTCACTTCGGGATTATTATTTAAATTGTGAAAACGGGTATTGTCAACCTACCTGACGGTTATTGATCGCTGTTATGTCATTGTAATTTCGTACAATAGGCATAAGCGGAACAAAAGAAAAGTCTAACGCAATGTGAGATTAATTATATTTACAAATTCTGCGCACCTCTGTTACGAATAAAAACTGGAAACTGAATCCTCAAATAAATCTATCTGAACCCAGCTGCCGAGTTCGTTATAATTCTACCCCTTTGTCGATTAAGGTGAAGTAAAACACGTCGAGGAACTTGATCGACGTCGATAAAGATTTTTCTAAATGCTTACTTTGCCGATGTTCGTTTTTATATTGACAGCTGTGTCGAATTATATTGAATATTGTAGAAAATGGCATACTCCACTTGTCGTTTTCGTACAATGAACATCAAGAAATCGAAGTAAAACTCGAGAAATCCTCTGGATTCATGCTTTCCGGGGCCCTAATTGACTGCAGAGGGACCCCTTGCGCCATCTGTGATTTCCAAGTAAATTAAACTTTCACTGCAAGACCTCGTATTACCATCATTTTGGCATAGAAGCGCATACAACACTTTTTTTGCCGTTATTCCGTTCAAATGCGAGTTTATCGATTACCAGAGTGTTCCAAATTGTCGTAAAATTGTCCTGACCCTTTAAATTCTCACATCAGAGCCTTCGATAATTGTATATTGATCAAAATATGAGAGCTCGACGCCATTTTGGTTCTGGTCTGGGCTGAGTTAATAAACTTTTATAAAAAATCCAAATTTTGAATGTGTCAGGACAATTCTTAGATGATCAAGAGTGATTTGTCAAAGTTTCGGACAGTTTGGTCCAATACCCTTAAAACTAAATGTTGTATTCGAATCGACTGATTTGAAGGGGGTTTCACTTCACCTTAAGCGATAAACTTTCTTGATGAACCGTCGAAAACGATACAAAAAGAAAAAGAAAATTATCTAAGGACGGTACAAATGCCTTCTATACAAAAAGTAGAGTAGCGAGTTGAGAGAAATCAGTCGCAATTAACGCGTACGTTAACGATGCTTCTTATGTCGGTCTTTTATCGGTGAAAGTCAAGGTAACTTACAATCATTTCAGTTATCGGATATTAAACATTGACAATGATTTTTATTACGCATAAAGTTGCGTGTAATCGATGCCAAGAAGTGAATTATTGGAAAAATTTTTATTTAGTTATCTCGTGTTAACGGTACACACCTCACTCGCGCAATTCATACTATACCAGTATTGTACATGGTACGATACACAGTATTTAGAGTAACAAGAGTACTCGCTTCAAAATTCATTCCCACCACATACACATTATCACGTATCCACGCCTTATGGAGGATACATGTTTTACATAGCATACGTCGCGATTACAATAATAACTGTGTACTCGATTACTCGTATGACGAAAAATACAAAACGACTAAAATAAATTAACGACATGGAGTCTTTGACGGGAGTTTGGAAATGCAAAACCCTCGGACAACGTCGCTGTCCGAGGAGAAGCCGATCGTCGTCGTTACAGACGTTTCTCTTCCCGGTCCTGTAAGACGCACCGATGATGTTGGAAATCTGGGGTAAATACGCGGCTCAATGGCGAGATTAACGGACAAGTTGAAGACTGAGATGCCAGTTTCCGTGACTAACTTAAATATAAGTCACCCACGCTCCGTCGCAAAACGTAACTTAGCCGAGCGACGACCACGTGTCAAACGTCGATCAGTCTTTTGCACCCTACACGACCCATCGCGCCTGGCGTATTAATTCTCCAAGGATTTGCCCGAAGGAAGCGGTTTTTTTTTCAGTCTAGAACGAACAAACTTATATGCTTCTCTGGAAATTAAAGTTCGTCCTTGAGATCGTCGTCTTCGCCACCCGTTGGCGGAACACCACCTGTCCCTTGATATAGCTTCGTTATGATAGGTTGGACGATATCAGCGAGCTCCTTCTTCTGTTTCTTGTACTCCTCCGGGTCGGTGTCCTGGTTATCCTCGAGCCACTTGATCTTTTCCTCGATAGCTTCCTCCATCTTTGCTTTATCGGCGTCGCTAACTTTAGCACCGAGCTTATCCTTGTCGGCCAGTTGGTTCTTAAGCGAGTACGCATACGATTCCAACTCGTTGCGCGCCTCGACGCGTTCCTTCAATTTCTTATCATCATCGGCGAACTTCTCAGCGTCTCTTATCATTCTTTCGATATCGTCCGGGGTGAGCCTGTTCTGGTCATTGGTGATTACGATTTTCTCTCGATTGCCAGTGCCCTTGTCCTCGGCGGATACCTGCAGGATACCATTCGCGTCGATTTCAAAGGTAACTTCAATTTGAGGAGTGCCTCGAGGTGCTGGTGGAATTCCAGTTAAGTCAAATTTGCCCAAAAGGTGGTTGTCCTTGGTCATCGGACGTTCTCCTTCGTACACCTGAATCGTCACGGTGTGCTGGTTATCGGAAGCCGTTGAGAAGATCTGAGATTTCTTTGTTGGGATTACGGTGTTCCTGAAAAATAAGGCATATGATTAGAATTGTCACATGATCAAACATGATTGGTACAATAATAATTAAAAGTGCACGGTAATTGAGGAATTATTGTTCGAGAAAAGCAGACTTTTAAAGTTAAGTAACAATAATTACCTTGGAATGAGTTTAGTCATGACTCCACCAACAGTTTCGATACCCATGGTAAGTGGGTTAACATCCAAGAGTACGATCGCATCGGTATCCTGTTCTCCGGAAAGAACTCCTGCTTGTACCGCAGCTCCGTATGCAACAGCCTCGTCAGGGTTGATACCCCTTGAAGGTTCTTTTCCGCCGAAGAATTCCTTAACCATTTGCTGAATCTTCGGAATTCTCGTCGATCCTCCTACCAGAACGATTTCGTCTACATCCTTAGGACTCATGTCGGCATCTTGGAGAACTTGCTTGACAGGTTTTGTTGTACTCTTGAAAAGATCCATGTTCAGCTCTTCGAACTTCGCTCGAGTTAAAGTCTCGGAGAAATCTTCACCCTCGAAGAAGGATTCAATCTCGATCTTCACCTATAACGGAGATAAATTATGGTTAATACATTTGTACATTGTTTCATCGACAGATTCGAGTTTTATCGCTCGTTGAAAAATTATAGTAAATATGATTTAAAAATATACCTGATGGCTGGAACTGAGGGCTCTCTTGGCCTTCTCTACTTCGCGACGCAGCTTTTGCACTGCCCTATTGTCCTTTCTGATGTCTTTGCCCTTCTTCTTCTTATAGAGCTTGATGAAGTGATCCATCACACGCTGGTCAAAATCTTCTCCTCCAAGGTGAGTGTCTCCATTTGTGGCAACAACTTCGAATACTCCATTGTCGATAGTGAGCAAACTGACGTCAAAAGTACCACCTCCCAAATCAAAGACGAGGACGTTCTTTTCTCCATCTTTCTTATCCAGACCATAGGCAATAGCTGCTGCAGTTGGTTCATTGATGATTCTCATGACGTTCAGTCCAGAGATTGTACCAGCATCTTTGGTTGCCTATAGTACAAATAAAAAATTAAGACATTTGAAAGCAATTCCATTTCCCTTAAAAACATATCCTTTTAAATCATTCTTACTTGTCTTTGGGCGTCGTTAAAGTATGCAGGTACAGTGACAACGGCATGAGTAACCTTCTTGCCTAGGTATGCCTCGGCAGTTTCCTTCATCTTACTCAGCACCATTGCAGAAATTTCTTCAGGGGTAAAAACTTTTTCTCCCTGAGAGGTTGCTACCTTGATGTTTGGTTTGCTGTTCTTTTCAATAACCTTAAAAGGGAAGAACTTCACGTCATGCTGAACCATACTGTCCGACCACTCACGACCAATGAGACGCTTTGCGTCGAAGATCGTGTTTTCTGGGTTTGTCGTCAGTTGGTTCTTTGCAGCATCTCCGATCAGTCTTTCTCCATCGGCAGTAAATGCCACATAAGATGGGGTAATTCTGTTGCCTTGGTCGTTTGCGATAATTTCAACACGCCCATTTTTGTAGACACCAACACTGTAAATGAATATGAATTTGATTAAATTATTTGAAATTACAATGGGTATCGTAAAAACGTTATAATCATATAATTACAACCATCATAGGGTTAGATACACAGTATTTGAGATATATACAAACTCTTTTGGTTGTCATAAAATCCTAATAAATTTGTACAATGCTAAATGGAAAATCGATTAAATGACTTACCATGAATATGTGGTACCCAAATCAATTCCTATAACTGTACCGATGTCTTCTTTTTCTTTCTTCTCCTCTTTGGCCGTTGCCAATACGGCAACCAAGCCTAACACCATCAGAGCAAATGCTCCCTTCATCTTTCCTGCTTCTTAGAAAACTTTACCTAGAAACACAGAAAATATCCCGTTATTTTCTGCAACATATGTCTGATATTTATCCAATTAACTATCATTATTAGGATGACCAAACAAAGAAACTTGGATAAAATAGAAGCCGGAAAGATACTTTATCAGATTCCATAGAATATTCTGGCTATCTAAAAATAATTTGGATATATTAGGGGACTTAACGGACTACCCTCTGCCCCCTTAAATACTTCACTAGGTACAAGGAATAATTGAAAAAATATGTAGTTATTGTTTAAATTAATTTTATGAAGACGTGTACAACCAATACCTCAATACCCAAGGAAATAGAATAACGAATACCGAACGTCTACAAGACAGTAACAAGCCACAGAGACAGATAACCGGCAAAATTCCTGAAAATCTGATGCACACGTCAATACACTGGGAAAAGATGTTGAAATATGAAAAATCTAAATGCAATTTACGCGATGCAGCGAGGTCAATGTCGGGAGATAAGAAGAATGAAGAAAGCACAGTTAAATGAACGCGTAAGGGAAAAAGACGAAGTACTTTTGTACGCTCCCTTTCTCAAAGTATCACTCGATGCCCGTTATTCTAATAAACATTGGTTATTAATGAAATTGGTATTTACCAAATGCGAAGGTATACTTGGAACGTCGTCTTCGTGAACACAGAACTACTCTCAATTACGAATATTCTCCTACACGTTCCAGAAGTGCCTGCAACCGACTGACTGGACACTGAATTCAGCGCCGAGATATTAACGGGAAAATTTCGTCGTGGCCTGCTGTGATTGGTCGCGCTACTTGTTCGAGACCGAGAAGCGGCGTTCTGATTGGTCGAAGGGGCTACAGTTGGCCGCCGCTGATTGGCCCACGTCTGAGCGTCGGCCTTCTTCTCGAATATTCGAGTACGCCTACCATTGGTCTAAACCCGGCTCCGTAACACGTGGATATTTTCTAGGGTTCTCGAAGAAAATTGATTTGCGCAACCTACGCCCAATACCCTGCTCCCACTTTACCGTTCGGGAGACCGGACTTAGGTTATGCAAATGAGAGTGACAAAGACGCAAAATACGGAAACATATGTGGGTCTCCCGGATACTTTTCTCTCTTGCCAGCGTCGGCTGTTGGCACGAGGTTGTCATCTTTTGCGATAAGTTGTAAGTTCCGATATACAGCGGTGATAAGGTCATCGCACTTATCGATTTTCAAATTTATTTCTTTTCTCGAAAACGATAGTTAACAGGTATCTATCGTACGCTTTATCGTACGTACTCGGTTATAATCGGATAAAGTGCACAATTTTGCGTTTTTAGATAGCTGAAAGATTGTCCAGATTCTGACGTTTCTTATGTATGAATTTATCGCGCACGCGTCATCGGGTACAGTTTGATACACACGACGTTAAAAATTCTAGAAGGATGTTGCCAGAAACCGTTGGTATACGTAGTGGGAGGTTCTGTCTAACGGGATGGAAGTGACGAAACGTGTTACGAGTTTTCATAGGGTACAGTTTCATTCTCTTCTACCTTTCGCATAACTACATTGAAAAAAATGTTATTTCGATAAGAGTGTTAATACCTCAAAATAATTAAGTACTGGCCAGTACTGTAACCAATATATGTTGTATATTCGTACATGCGTCATTGCACGCTTGTTTACATAAAAGCACGGTATTTGTTTATGCAAAAGTAATGAAAAGAATGAAAGGTGCAATGTATTTAAACATTTAGAGCACTTAATTGTACCCTTACAACATAATAAACCATTTACCTATTATTATACATGATAATTTGATATAATCATTTATGCATATATTATTCCTATTCCCTTTGCTATTTAATTAAATAAATATACTACAAAATGTCTATAATGAGGTTCTATGATCGATCAATATTTACTTTTTGGTTTTAACATTTCTAAAATTAAAGGTGCAAAATATGTTATTATGCAATCTGCTCCAGCTCTTCGCATTGATAACAATACTTCATGTAACACATTTTCTAAATTGATAGCCCCATTATTAGCACCATGATAAAGCATTGCATATTCTCCGGAAACCTGGTATACGAACATTGGGTATTCTGGATGAGCATCTTTCGTATGCCTAAGTACGTCTAAATATGCTAATCCTGGTTTTACTATAAGCATATCAGCACCTTCTGCAACATCTCTGGCCTTTAATGAAGATATAAATTAAAGGAAACAATAAATAAAACATATTGATTTAACTATATCTGAAATAAAGCTTTACCGCTGCTCGACTCGCTAATCCGTTACTGCCTGGTGGAAGCTGATAGCATTTACGGTCTCCAAATTGTGGGGCTGATTTTGAGGCATCTCGGAAAGGACCATAAAATCCAGATGCAAATTTAACAGCATAAGATAACACTGCAACCTTGTTTGAAAATCCTTCAGCAGCTAAACCTTTCTTAATTTTACCAATTCTACCGTCCATCATATCTGAAGGTGCTATAATGTGTGCTCCTATAACAGTTTACTGTCCCATAAATAAATAATCACATGTCAAAAATGTAAATTAGTACTATTACTTATCATGCTCTGAGTTCGTTAGTTCTTCTTTTCTTACCAGCTTTAGCATATGCAACCGCTATTTCAGCTATTCGTTTGATGCTGGCCTCGTTATTTATACTGCCATCCATATTTAAAATACCACAGTGCCCATGAATCGTGTAAGGGCAAAGACATACATCGCAAGCTATTACGAGATCAGGAAACGACTGTCTTAATTTTGGTACAACTTGGACAATTGGATTCTGTGGACTGTCAGCATTACTACCGAATCCATCCTATAATAAATTACAACTTATGCCCATATTTTATTGTACGCATAATATATCAATAATAGAAAAAATTACCTTCTCTAAATGATTTGGAACTCCAAATAGCAGCACAGACCGTAATCCTTTAGCAACAAGAGGCTTTAATATAATTTTCAACTGATTAATTCCATAACGATATACTCCTGGCATACTAGCAATTGGATCCTTTGCATCAGGTTCATCTCTACAAAAACATATCTTTTTCTATTTACTCCATAAACAAAATTCTATAATTTCATCATAAATGGCAACATAATAATTCATATTCAATTTTTTAAATGTAGGTGAAAAGCTAAGACTCATTTTATAAATAAATAACTCCTAAAGAGGAGTATACAACCGCTACTCAATTCTAAAATGAAATCCAATTAATGAAACGTATAACTTTCACTTTTTTTAAACTCTTCCGTTAAGCAGTTTTAATGTTATGTGTAATAAGGCTACGATGGATTAAAAATGAAAATATCCACTATATTTATATTTCGGTGACATAATGTTGCAGATAAATAATTATGCCAATGAGAAGAGGCATAAAATATCTTTATCTTAAGATTACGTGATCGTAAAGAAATGAAATAGTTGAATCGCGTTCCTTAAAAGGTTATGTCGCATACTTACAAGACGAAAATAGGGTACATCAGATTATCTGCTGTAATTTCCACATTTGGAGATTGCCATTGTCTCAAGAGAGGATGAAAAATTCCACTGTGGAGAATATGCCTTGCCTCAACTTCAGTCATTGTTGATTCTCGAATTCTTTCTTAAATAACTTTTCACCTGAAGTTTCAACCACAAGTTCTCTGTGACTCAGCTGAACTCAATTCTGAAAAGCGACGATTCATCGTCACTGTTGAGAAAGTTGCCATTCACCTTAATGACAAAAAGTTCTTTCCGCGTAGCATATTTAATACTGTTCTTAAATCGAAATTTAACTTCATCTGCCGCGTCAGCGCATAGGATATTTTTAATACTTTTCCGAGACATTTCTTAAAGAAGAAATTCATAAACAATGACAACTTTATCATACGATAAATTTTGTTTGCATTTTTCCATAATAGGAGCATGTATTACGATTGTCAGTAAGGAAAATTAAATTGTAATAATCAGCTGCAAAAATTATTAAAATGTGCTGTAATAACGCATGATGCAATGTCATGCTGATTCTTCATTAACGCACCGAAAATTCTACTCAAGTAATGGTAAAGGATATTAATATTTCAGTAAAAATATACATATGTAACAATAAAACATTTTTCTCGAGAAAATTTGAATCCGAAACGAAGTGTTCATTCAGAATATTGATTTTTATTAAATGCGTCCTCGCGTCGATTATACGCAAATTAGCATTGAAATTTAAAACTTGTCTGTTGCCGCCATTTATATATTAAGGCTATTTCACACAGTATTTGCGACATAAGCGTCAAATGCAAACCTGTAATTTTATATTTCGTATAAATACTTGTTGCGATATATTTTCTTTAATTTCGGAAAACTTGATTACGTTGTTAAACACTGAATGTACTTTGACTGCGTTATCAGACATCTGGCAGTAATATTGACGTTTAAATACTAACTTCAAAACTCCCACAGAAGTTTTCTCAATTACATTAGAAACTTTTCTCTATCGGTGACAAATGTAGTAGAGAGAATATAAGAGAAGGCAGGGGAAAGGCAATATTATGTTACAAACTTATTTAAAGATGTGTAGCTTGAAAATGTAGTTTTACAGTGGAATAGAGTAAACTATGAATTCAATGACTGTAAACTTCACAAATACATAGAAAAGCACACATTATCTTCAATAATGACCGAAAAAAGATAAAACCTCTCTAACAATTATGAACCAAACGCAAGACTAAGTGCGGTCGAATGGAACTCAGACCTATATAGCATTTCCTTGAACCACTTTAGATATCAAATACTACGAACTATCTTGCCTTCAATGATGTAATCGCATTAGGATTCATTTGCGTTTGTAATTAATTATTTTAACAAGAGGGTATGTCTAAGGAGCGGTTACTAGAATTTTTGAAAACTTTCATATCACCAAAAATGTATTTGGCACGAAACTGTACTGAATTTCTTGATAGAAGCGTCCTTGTCTTACAAGTTTTTAGCATTAGTGCAAGAGAGACAGCCTGGTCTCTCGAAGAATTAAGTGGGAGAGTAAATTAGGTTATGTACAGTATAGTGTGTTCGAAAACTTTCCGTTGGGTATCTCACGATTCTATCTGTCTTTCATGATCAAAAGAAGTATATGTGAGAGAGAAAAGGATAAGATGCTGCCGCAAACTACTCCAAGGTAAGTTTAGGAACGCTCTCGTGTCATCGGATGCGTAGTGTCGTCTGCTGGCGACTTGCGTTGCAGTCGGAGCGCACCGAATTCAAGCGAGCAAGCGACGCAGCGATGGCTGACTTTATTCGCGGGAGATTAAACCGGCTTGTCGAGACGCGCGATATTAACGCAAAGAAAGATATTCTAACAAAAGTGAAGATTAAACTCGAGACCGTACATCAACGAGAAATCCAGGAAGTGGCAAGAAATTTTGATCTTCTTCAACTGTTTTGTCAGCTAACCTCAAACGATAGGTAAGTATGATGACTAAGGAAATTATTAATTTTATTAATGTCATTTAAATTCAAATTTTAAAGTTGAACTATTTCAATAGTAAATAAGTTGCAATTGTTACTGAAATTGTTCAACGTAAAGATCTCCAAAAAGTCCACTAGTTTTATTTTTAAATCCATTTACTTTTGATCAAAACATTCAGGTCAGTTTATTTTTAGGGAAGTCGTTGAACGGACATGTGATGTTTTGAATTCTTTCATCGGTGCATTGGATGCCGGAGAGGTTCACCAACGTTACCCAGCCGCATTCTGCCGATGTATAACTCACAGTGACTCGGTCGTTAAAACCGTTGTATTGAAAGAAATGCTGCGCACTGTCTCCGATCCATCCGGAGTGTCGCAATTGCTTAAAGATTCCGAGATGTTGTATACGATAGCTGAAACCATTGGTGAAGAAGATTTAGAGATTGCTCAGTTGGCATTAGAAATTATAAAAAAAGTTGGAGAAACTCCAGAAGGTTTAAAAACTCTGTACTCTGGACAATTGTTAAGAGTATTCGGGAGGTTATTGGCAAAAAATGATACCTTTAGCTTTAGAATCTATGAGTTTATTATAGCTGTATCAATGAAATCTAAGGAAGCCCTAGAAGCTTCTGCTCAATCAGGATTATTGTACAGTTTATTATTAGTTTTAGATAACGAGGATGTACTTCTTCAACTTAATGCCTTAGAACTTCTTACTCAATTAGCGTTAACGTCAGATGGACTAGACTATTTAGAGTCACAGAACGTTTTGAGTAAACTTTCAGAGAAAATAGTGAGTGCCAATGAAAATCCTCTCTCAAATCTTTTGATTCCTGGTCTTATGAAATTCTTTGGAAAGGTTACTAGATATAAGCCTAACGAGATTTTGTCGAAATATCCAGCTGTTGTAACTGCATTATTCGAGGTATTGAATAGCGAAGACGTAATAATTTTATCGGATGCGCTTGATACATTAGGACACATATGTTCAAATGTTGAAGGAAAATATGCATTAGAATCGTTCGGCGATTGCATGCCTAATGCAATCAAAAAAATCTCGGAGCTCATTCGAGATTCACCTGCAGAATTGAGAATTTGTGCTCTGAATTGTCTTACTTTGATTCTTGATGTTAAGAAACCTGAGCAAGATAACAGAATCCTAACGGTCACCAAATCGTGGTTTGATTTACTTGGAGAGGATCCCCTTGACATCATAATTCCTCTCTGTAGACAACCGTTCTCAGATATTCGACAGGCGAGTCTTGAAGTGTTAGCTGTAATAGCGTCGCAAACCTGGGGACAAGAATGCATAGCTGGTTACCCAGGACTTACGGAGTTCCTGCTGGACAGGAACACTGAAACATATAAAGAATGCAAGGAAATCAAATATGGAATAATAAAGTCTTTATCGCAAGCTGAGCCAGACATTTTCGATGCAAACACTATGCAGAGGTTTGCACAGTTTATTTCCGAAGGACCATTTTTTGTGGAGACAGATGTCAGCGTTACCACCGAGGGTGCTGTGTGATAAGCAGTTACTATTTTGTCACTAAACCTACTTCTGAACCACTTATATTTGCGATTATGAAGCCTACATACCTACAAAATGGACATTAATTTATGATTTGTGGAATTCGATATGAAAAGTGTAATTTAATTCACGTAGTATTTTTAAATAAACTAAAAATATATCGTTGACCATGGTGATGTAAACATAAAATAAATTCTTATTTACATGAATCACAAGTTCTGCTGTCCACTCGCTACCACTTTTCGCGAACAATAATTCTATAGATAATAGAGTACGTATACTTTAATTCAATATAATTACCCTTTCGTAGTTGATGTTTATACTATTTTTGCAGTTATTCTTAAACAACTTTTTATTATACATAATTCCACTTTTATAATAAATAATTTCCTAGAGTATGCACCCTAGGGATAAATTTTACTTCAATTGATTTGAATAATTTAAGTTATAATTATTCAAAGGGGAACCTGTACGCACGATAAAAAGGCAAATAATTTATTTTTACAACTAACAATACATTATAGAAAATTAAGGGTAACACAGGTGGAATTACTTCATCTCTCGTGATAGGCAACCCTTGCATGCCATATCGTGGAGTCTAGTGTACCAAAGTGCAGCTATTCACAAACTTCTCGATCTTTTCATTCGTCCATACTTTTGATCTAAAGTATTCAAGTACGGAATGCAAGATGTACAGGTGACGGCTTAATCGGCCAGAATTCATCTGAAGAATAGCGGATCGTCGTTTCATTGAATGCGCTTTCTTTTTTTAGGCGCCAGAATCTTGAGCATACTAACTACGGGAGCCTCGAAGGAAACGGAAATTACGAAGGACAGGAAGTACGAAAGAACCACTTGCCCGAAGAACGTTATCATCTAAAAAAGAAACAAATCGTGTATATATATATAATTAGAAACCTCGAAGCCTGGCAGTACGACATTTTATTTGATTTCTGTTTTACCACTGTATCCTTTCCCAGGTGAAACGGTGCGTCCATATTCATTGCGGTTAACCTGATGATTATTGGGTGCACCAAATACGCACAATATGTCACTCTACTGAATGGATAGAGAATCGGTGCTGACAGAATGTCGTTAACGTACCCTTCAAATGAACATAGAACATTAAATGAGACATTAATCATTAATTGAATACTTAATTGGCTTAACATCGTGCATGTCATTGTTCTACGCACGTGGTATTTCCTTTGATAAATAAAAAATGTTTTCACCTAGGTTGAATTTGTTTTTCGTAATTTATATGGCTTTTACCCTGGTAACTTTCAGCAGCGCTACTCAGTCGAATAACTATCGCGCACATTATTTTCTATCGTGTGCGCAATTGTTGCAATTGTCTTTTGCATTATAAGTTCCATACGCATTGGTGATTTTTAGCAGCAACACGATTCAATGCCATCACCGATTAGACTTATGGCTGCCACTAACTTCGGTTAAATCATTGATTAACTAACCGTAGGTTAAAGTTAACGGCTAAGTTAATCTTAGGTTGAAAACGTAAATGTTCCAGCATTTTTATTTAGAGCGTGATTAACTAAATCGTATACACCATTCAAAGTAAGTTTAATTATCGGCTAATACTCTGATCGACTAGTAAGTCTTCATCAAGACACAAGTTATTTGACAGTAGCTAGCCCGAAAAAATATAATTCTTTGGTTAAGAATTAATATAAAATATTTTCTAGTGTACTTCGATCATCAAGAAATTGTACATAACATATAAAACGTCTTCATCCGTTTCGTCATAAGATGTTAATCATCAATATAATCCACGTTTTCCTCACGTTTGTGCAGTTTTTAGGTTGAAGTTTGATTAAATGATGCTAAACGATCGAATTTGACTGATTAATCTAAACGGCGGTTAACGGAAATTAACCTGCCGTTAAAATGTGATGGAACGGACAATAACGGACATGAATGCCTCCCCTGCAGATACGGCATCGCCTGTGCAGGATGGGAAGGCATTGATGTCTCCCAGTGTACAATGGCGGACGTGAATGTCTCCCCTGCAGATACGGCATCGCCTGTGCAGGATGGGAAGGCATTGATGTCTCCCAGTGTCCAACTCGTTGTAACCGAGGATTAGCTTTTTGACCGAAGTTGGTGGAACCGGGGATTAACAGCGCGATAAGTCGGCAGAGTGAAACCCGTCTTATTCAATAAAGAGCGAATCGTCTGGTGATCTAAGCTGCTGAGAGTCTACCAGGGTAAAATGAAGTGTTAAATAAAAAATAGTAACAACCTCCATATCCCGTGCTGCAAGCTATGACGATCCATGATAGTCCCAAAGCCCAAACACTGTGGCTCAACGAGGAATACGCTGCCGCTGTTGCTGGGCTAAGTTCTGCCTCGTACAAACCATACAATAAGCTCAAGAGACACGCTGACGAAAGGAGCCAACCAACCACAACCGCGGTCTGAAAATAAAAAATAATGTCGATTAATTTGACCGCCGCTTTAAAGCCGAGTGAAATTAATTCTCGCTGTGCATACCTTGGTCATTTTTATTTTACAATCAATTTTGAACAAGAAGTATCCAACCGACATTCCGATTAGGTACGGTCCTAATCGGGTCCACGGTTTATCGTAAATTTTGTCAAAGAGAGCCAGGGGATCGTCCGAGCTCGGCATATGGTTATTCACATACGCAATGTATCCCGTGGTACCCCATGAACTAATCAGCAGAGTAACTGTGAAGAACGCTGCAAGTTTGAAATTGTTGGTCGCAATAATCAGTATTATTGCCCCCACGATGTAAAACTGCGTATCGTCTGCAACGTACCAACTCCATAACATGCACTGGAAATTGAAAAAAAAACAATGAGGAATTGCAATAGTTCTTTGAATAGTTATAAAAAGATATGCACGAAACTATTTCATGGACTTCATGCATTTCTACGTTTCATTGAGTGCAAGTTACAATTATTTCATTCGAATGAATAAATCTAAATTTTATATCTTCCTATTCGGATCGTGAATCTTATAAAGAGAATTTGTTTACTCTTCCGAGGATCCTCGTAGATACATGTTGGTAATTCTCTCTTATAATCTGTTTCATCGAAATTCTCCTAAAAAGTTTGTTCTTTTATATTCCTGAACTACTTCAGGTATTGTTGGAAATATTTACTTGTCATTTTTCCTAAATAACTTGAATTCACTCCACTACATTGAGCGAAATACTTGATTTGATCGAATGAAACAAAGTTAAGTACATGTAATGTCTCAATGTTTGCACGCATACGTACAGCTAAATTTATCCGACGCATTGCTGACAAATAACTGCAGCGTCTCTAAATTTTCAATTCATAAATATCGATTATGGCATACTTGGTACATGACTCAAGTATGCGGTAAATATATTGCTACCACCATTTATGACAAATTTACCGCAAATTTTTGTTCAAATTCATTGTATAATATACGTACATATATTGCAGACATTTCATGCAGCAAAGGGTCTACAAATTCTTTGTAAATCAGTTTTCCTTATCACATTATGATCATGAATTTCTATTTGGGAGTTTATCGGAAACCACCCTCTGAAGTTGACGAAAAAACATACAACGTAATCCGACGAAAAGATGTCTGAACGTTTGTCATCTTTTAATAAACATGACAAATCGTCACCTTTTAGCCTTGACCAAAAGATGCCAAAATCCGACGCATAAGACACCTTTTCGTCTTCTTTTTGTCGACTACATGCTATTACCAAAATGGTAAAAAGAAGATGGCTAGGCCATCTTCTAGTTGTTGTACTGTTCAGATAAATTTAATAAATCTGAATATCGTTTGTATTATTTTCATTCGATCCAACCTACAACTTATTTTGTCGATAGAAGCAAGTAAAAATCTATTGGGTACGGGAATTTCTATTTCAGAAAGTGATTCTTTCGTTCATTGTACATTCTCCATGAAACCATCTTTGCGCATGAAGAAGAGTCTTACCATTTGCTCTACCGGGAACAAAGTATTGATATACAGTAAATTCCTCCACCAATAATTCGGGCAGTTTTCATGATCAGCCGTGGGTGGTTCGAAAATAGAATTGGCATGGAACCATTTCATAGAGACCTCCACGACACCCAAAACGAACATATAAGGCGCAGTAAGTCGACAAAATCTGTACCCCAGAAATCCTGCAAATTTCAGGACCCCAGCAACGAAACCTTTGGTGCCTTGTGTTAACTTATTAAGGTCTCCCTTGGCATTGGTCCTGAAATACAAAAAACTGACGAGCAAACCCCCCATAAAGAAAAACGTGTCCACGCTGAAGGCCCCGTTTGTGATGGTCTGAAAGAGAAGCCTCTTCTCTACGACCTTCCTGTACTCCATATTGTCTGAGTACTTGAAGACCACGATGCAAGTATGCCCAAGGATAACCCAGGCCATAGAGATCGCTCTAAGACCATGGACGGTGCTAATCGTATCTCTTCCTACTGCGTTATCGCAGATTGATTTTACATTAGCTCGAACAGAAAAAGAGAGCAGTAGCTCCTCGTAGACGTCTAGAAAGTGAAGAAAATAGCACAATTATTTCCTTTCTTGACAGTTTATTTATTTTTTATTTAGCTATTCGCTGTAGAGTATCGTGTATTTATGGATTCATGCTTAGAACGTACTGAGCTTCTCCGAATTCAAATCTGTACACGATGAATTATGCTCTCGATCGTTGTTGTTATTCACTGGTGGAGACCCATTGACCATGTTCTCCGACACTGGAACAGGAAGGTAGACCTTACCTTGAAAAGCTACGGAATACAATGGTAAAAAGGTGTCACTACCAAGCACTGTCGCCGTCGTCGATGGTCTGTTGTTAGTTAAAGTCCTTAGAGTTCAATACTTTAGTAGTTGTCCCGATTAGATTCAATGTATTGAAAATAAAAGAATTACATATACTAGGGAGTACAATAGTGTGACTTTCGTTGACTTAAGAAATCGAACTGTCAGGAAAATGCGAACTACTGGTGATCGTAATTGTATAGTTGTCCTTGAAAAATCAAGGTACCCGAAATCCAGGAGGTTAACAATTAGTAAAACAAAGACGCAAACGCAAAGCTATTTAGCAGTGCAGTGTACCGCTTTGCAACCACTACATTGTGCAGATAATCCATTATATACGGAGAAAAAATTGACTTACCATTTTGCATTTTCACGATTCCATTGGTAAGGTGGTCCAGTTTGGCATGTTTCTCCAAATCGTAATTCCTAGCCGTTTTACGAGATAGTCTTTTAACGAGAAATATGTCGTATCCCGTGCCGGAAATCATTAGTAAAAGGACCACTAGGCTGACGCCACTGGAATCAACGTAATCATAAAATTGATTGAAATTCCTTCCGCAAATTGAATCTTCCTCGGCCTGATGGTTGCCTCGGAGATCCATTACGTACTTACGGGTAAACGCAAATTATCTAGACGTAATTAATGACGTAAGGCGTCAAATCGACTTACAACAAGATCCAGAAGACCGGATCCGCGTACATGTTGTACACGTTGTGCTGGTCACGAACCCTTTCGATGGAAGAGTGTCTGGATGCAAATTCGCTTGCGGATAATTTCGCTATCACTGCTACATCGGATGCTGTGCACGAGAATGGCAAGCATATTCCCAGATGAATCAATTTCGTCTGAAATACGGGAATTTGAGCAAATTACTTTTTAAACCATCTTCAAATCCATAATTGTCACTAGATTCTATCGGATTATTTAAGATCTAGTGTCTCATTTGACATTATTTGTAGGTACTGTAAATTCAAACTATTAATCGATTACTTTATTGATGATCTATCTTGTACATGTGCAAAGGACGGGTGTCCGTAAGGCCCCTTTTTGGCCCTAAAAATTGTTGGAAAACCTAAGTGGTTTCACAACTATTGTAATTAGTATTGTTTATTCTTGAACTCATTTTTTTTTTATAAGATTCCATCAACATTTGTTACGTTTCATTATGATTTACGCTTCTTTCAAATGCGCAAAATTTGCCATTTCTGATGGTTTCGATTAAAAATGGTCGGTTTTTGGTAATTACTCCGTAGTTTTTTTTAAGAGCGCATTGATGCAACACTTTCTGCTTTACATATATGTATAATATAACAGAACACATAATAAGATATACATCAATTATGTAGTATATGGACAATATACGTAAAAATGAAGTGGTATTTCGCTGCACTGTTACTAATGACAAAACATAATCTCCGTAAGTATTACTACTACTCTGTGTAATGCAAGATTGCATACTTACGTGAACATTGTTACACGCGTTGAATGTTATTTATGTGTGATTGATAAAGATCTCAATATTCAATATGTAAGAGCTTGAATGTCACGCGGCTGCGCCGAGCTTTTTGTGATATGAAAGACATGTTATAGAAGCATAACCTTGTACTGTTGACAACACAACTATCTTTTAGATAGTTACTCTTGCCTCGCAATGGTAAAAAGATAATGAAGAATACTCCGCTTAGTTTGTTTTCATTTTGTAATGATAAATATTGTTTGAATCATTTACTTTATACCTTACCGCGCATCTATTTCATATCAGAATTTAAATTATTTTCTATCATGACCTTACTTAACTTATATAAATATGAGACCCTTAAGTTCCTTGGGACCAAAAATCCGGCTTATGGACACCTAGCTTTTATTGGGTTATTCGGGAAGTCCTGTCTATAAACTCGACTCGAAGAAAATCGTTTTTAGAGAAGACTTTCCCAATAACCTGATACTTGATTTCAACGCGATGGAGAAACATCTGGTTACGAGAGAATTGTTTTACTTTGTCAGATTTTCAATAAAATGTTCGTCAACTGGTGAAAATAAAGGTAATCCATACCCGGTGGGGATTGGTGCCATTCACCGAGATTCGCAGCATGAAAAATCCAAGGGGAAATGGCGGTTTGTCCAAGATCGTGGGAGGCAGAAGATTCGCTCCGCTCAGTCCGCCATTAAGTTTTTTCGTCGATTCCACGGTGAATTCGCGAATTTCGTTCGACAAAGGTCTGGCAAGTCTCTCACTTTTCTTTGAGTAATCGTATCCGATCAACGCGCATTCCGTGGCGGAGCCTAGGAAGTAAGAATTGCCCCAGAAAAATCCATTGGTGTACCGTCCGGAGGCGTCGTCCACTAAAAATGAAAAGAAAATCGTTATTAATCTGGTTGCCGATATAAAAATATGAAGATTCCGTAGTTTATAACTTATATAAGCTTAGCATTCAACTTTCATTGGAATCTCCACGATGTTTTAAATAATTAATAGGAGTGTGGCATATTTTAAGTAAAGAGTATGGGAGCTTAATACATTTCTCGAGACGACTATCGATATGAAACTCATAAAACTGTGTTTCATGAAATTGTGGATATTTTTGCAGGTAACTTTCGTTATTTAACATATTTGTTGCGACAATTAATATCTGATATTCGGAATACAAGGTTTCGAAATGATTCGGATGGATTATTCCAAGTCGTTTCTAGTTATCCCATTTTCTATTTAGTTCTTTTTCTATCGCTTCCCTTGTAGCACAAAATATTTGTCCTATATTTTCTATATATTTAACGGAATATCGTACATTTTGTAAATATTTACCAGACATTTTAAATATTTGCAAAACGTTGCGACAATTAATATCTGATATTCGGAATACAAGGTTTCGAAATGATTCGGATGGATTATTCCAAGTCGTTTCTAGTTATCCCATTTTCTATTNCATTTCATTCCAATGACAGGAAATTCATTTTGAAGAAATGGAAATAATGATTCCGTGTATTTAAATTTTAATAGTGTTAAGCAAAGATCATTTTGTTATCGTGTTAACAATAACAATGTATTTCTTGACCTTTAATAAATACTTAAAGCTAATATCTTAATGAGTATAAAACATCTTAATTTTGATTCCTTAGAATTAAACGCATTTAAGTCTAGATCAAATTTTGTTGCCAACTCCGTTTTAAACCATTTCCAGTTATTTAGAATATGAATACTCTCGAACTTGTTGCAATCACTATCGATTTGTCACCACGTAAAATGAAGAAAAGTCGTACGACCGCAAAAGATACGAAATAGGGCCGTGAAGTTTTTACAACAATGATCAGTTCATTGACACGATCTTGACTTACGCATAAAGCGCAGAAGCATGAAAACGTCTATCTGGATCACTGGAATCGTTAAAGAGATATTTGCAATGACCGCGTCAGATAATAACGTAAAGCGGGAAAGTGTCGAAATGGCAAAGTATTTCGCTTTTGCAAATGAGGCAGTTGGTGCGGTCATAATTCTTTTGTAAATTAGACATTAAAGTTTGGTAATTACTATGGCCGAAAAGTCATAACGAAGGTCCAGAAAGTAAATGACGCCGTTTATGTACGAAAATAAATCACGCATATAGCAGCTTACAATATATAAATTGCAACATTCGGGCAGATGATATTTCGTTTTGATTTTTTGTTACCGTATTCTTATTTGAAAGCTGTAGTAGAGTAGTAGAGATATGGAAAATTCAAGTCTTATGAAGAATATGAATATATAAATCGTGTGAAACCCAGTTACAAGAATGAAAGTGGACATAATCTTCTCCCTTGAAACTGATTCAGAAATGTTTAATCAGACTTTCCTGAACTCTTCGAATGCTTGATCTCATAAAGTTGAAATTTCTGTGTCCCGATTATTCATCTTAAATTCGTAGAAATCAGAAATACCAGTTTACAAAGGAAGGCTTTTTCAGAGAAATGCGCGTTAGCACATTCTGCAAGACATTATCAATTGTTTCAAAATTTACTTGTATTAATTACTTCGATCCATTCGTTAAGGCACCAAGGCACGGTTTACCGGCGCTCGACATTAACGGGACAACTTTTTTCTGTACTTCTTTTAGCTACTACTTATACGCTCTTTCATTTTGCCGATAAATGTCGACATCTTGAAACAGGTGAGCGGGGACGAATAAGGTGTCTATAAAGCCTTATTAGGTATTCCGTGGAGAAGTTCGGCAGGGTCTGACACGTGCGACAGGTGAAATTGGAATGACAATGGATTCCACGGCTCGCAAAGGACATTGTCAAGTAGCTTACAATAGCTGCACTCTCGTATGCGGTCGCAGGTTCAAAGTCAAGTTCAACTTTCGAGGGTTCGTCAGCTGACATCAAACGAGACTGACTAGACAAAATAGACCTGATCTAGATTTACCCTACGTAGAAGAAAATGAAGAAAACGATGAAAACCTATTATTACTGACATTAATATTATATACATTACATATTATCTATTTGAAATTAATGTTTGAATTCGAATAAAGCGTTGAAGCATGTAAAGCTACCTGAATTCTGCGAAGTACTAGCAACGCGAACACAAGAAGCGTTCCACATTCTCGCATGAGGAACAATTCCGATAATTGCGCTCACATCATGAAAAGTGGGCTGTAAAAATAATTTTCATTCGTAACACTTAAGGGATACGTACGTGACATAAAAAGAATGCATTTCGTTTCAAAAAATTTCACCACACCGTAATTAAGCATCCCCCCCGCCAACTTTTTATAACCCTGCAAATATTCTCGTTCGCTGTGTAATTTGCACGTAAGTAGTATAAGTAGAGGACGATTGTTCCCTTTTACTTTTTCAATTATTTCTTACGCCTTACTAGTAATCTTTTAATCTCAACGATTTACTAATCATTGATATTAGAAGATTAGTTCAAAGTATAGCACATAAGATTTCCACGAATTTAATATCATTATTTACGTAATAATTTTTTTTATTTGGCATATTAAAGTGAAATACAGGTATGTAGGACAATTTGTGTGATCTAGACCTCGTAATAGCAAAGTATGCGCTGGACGTTACGTTTTCCATAAATTAGCACGTGGGAAGTGGTGCAGATCGTTGCGTTAACATGATATACTTTAGCACGTGCTCGCACTAGTACGTAACTAGCTTATCTCGATAAATTGCAACCATTGAGCGTTGCGTTCACTGTCGAGGTTGCTGTACTTCTCGAAGTTCACGGACCGCAACTGTTCCGTCTCGACCATTGCAGTTTCTCTTTCCCTTTTACTCGTAGCTGAAGGCATACCAATGCCATGCCTCTACCAACTATTGATTCGCATATAATTAACGTAGAATTTGTATAATTATTAACCGGTTTACTGGCCGTGCGAGTTCGAAAGGAGATATCAATAAATCATCGGGTTCCTTCTGCAGTTTCTTCAGTAACTGGATATTAGATTTCAACGCTATGACGAAAGTACGTAATGCATAATATTACTTCAATTTTCCGAAATTAATTGCTCGATTATGTTTAATTTAGTCACTCGATTGTTGGTTCCTCATTTTGTTTATTCGTCTGTAAGCGCTTCCGGAAAGTAATGAATGTGCTCAGCTTAATATCATCTGTTTAATTGCAACGAATGGAACGTAATTTCATAATTAGCAAGGCTATTTAAAGACTTGTCGCTCTCACAGTTAATAATTAGAGACAGGTGTGACACGAAAAGACAATTATGATTCTTTCCGCAGTTTCATTTAATTAATCGCTCGGTTGAGAGTTCAGTATTGTGATGATAAATTGTCTATTTGAATTTGCCCATTCATCATCTTGTAAGTTTCGTTTATAAACATTTTCTATTGTACAGAAATTAGTGTATCGTGGCAAACGGGAGAATTAGAAAGTCATTTTAGAATTAATAATTGATCCCTACTCATACTTCACTTTTAGCCGTAAAACGTCTTTTACAAAATGACTTTAAATGGTTAAGACACATCTTTTGACACCAAAAGTGAGATAGAATATGAGCCATTGTCTTTTGAAGACGTGCCGCTCTCACAATTTATAATTGGAGGTGTGACACAAAAAGACAATTACGATTCTTTCCACAGTTTCACTAATTAATCGCTCCGTTGAAAGTTCAGTATTATGATGATAAATAATTTCATTGGATTTGCTCGTTCATCATTTGGCAAGATTTATTTGCTTAGGTGTATATATTTTTTCTCGTGTGTAGGTATTTGTATATCGGGTCATGCACGAGGATTAGAACGTCTTTTTACAATTAACATAGTCCTTTGAAAACGCGGCGCTCTCACGGCTCAGAAGCGTGACATTAAGAGGCAATTATTGTTCCCTCTGTAGTTTCACCAGGAACACGATGTCATCAATGTTCATCGTTCTGCCATAAGTTCAGCTGATGGGACTGGCTAGGATTCGCGTTAGGGAAAGTGATTCGGAAGGAGAGAGGCTTTCTCTTTGCATACCGCATGGCATTGTTAATGGCGCTAGACAATGGGGTTCCTGCATGCACCGGCCATCGTACTAACTCGTATATAGTATCATTCCTGCATTGAAGAAAAAGCTTCGTCGTCATCCTTCTATATATATATACTAATTCTATAAATTCTATATATATAAAACGTCAAAATGTTTATAACATTTTTCTCCAAACACCGATTAATTTGAAACTTTAACGCGTGATTATGGTGGCCCTAAGGAAGAACTCGATGCTCGTGAAATTTCATTTTTCACAAGAAAATATGATTTTGGTTCTAGTCTGGGATAAATAAAAAAGATTTTTCTTCAAAAATGAAATCTTACGAGCATCACGTTCTTCCTTAGGGCTGCTATAATCACGTGTTGAAGTTTCAAATGATTTGACGCACCCACTTTGGAAAGAAGTTTTATAAACATTTTGACACTTTATATGTATAAAATGACCCTTTCATATCACCTTAATAATGCCAAACTGATTTTCTGACTTCGATAGGCCTCTGCCTGACTTAGAAAATGGCGTCTCCATTACTTGGTTAGCTTTCTCAACAAGTTTTGTCACCAATGTGCATCGTCTTATTACATCACATTTAATGATAGGGTGTTTAACGGCAATAGTCAGAAAGATACAATTAAATCGTTTTGAATGTGACTCCGATATTGTAGTGTTTGAAAAATGTTTAAATATAAACCCGAGCTTACAAAACGTTCCAAAATTTGTATGAATTATGTTTTTCGTAAAGTTATGCATTTCATTATTATGTTAAAACTTTAACGACGGGGCCACGATGCCGACAATGTCCACCCAATAAGGTATTACATCGTCCTGTCGATAATGTTCTTATACCAAATGGTATTAGTAATTAGAAAA